AGTGGTCAGACTTGGCAGGACTTGTAGATTTTGCAGTCCCCAACCAAAGGGCTCCTCAGAATGTGAGATGATATCAGACATCATGGCATGCAAATTTGAGCCATAAAGGGGTGGGGAGGAGAGAGTTGAAGTTTAGCCAAAGTCTGAGAGTTTAAAAAAAAAAAGCAACACAATTTTAATTCAAGGAATAAAACATTAAAAAAAAAAAAAACACAGAAAAACAACCAAAGAGGGTAAAGCTGTTTTGCCTTAACTACGATTTCCTGAAGCAAGTGAAGAAGTACTGTTCATTTTTGATTAAAGTAACTGTGAGCAACAAAACTGGGAAAACACCAAAGTTCATTCTCATGGTTCATTGAGTCATTCTGATGGCTAAAATGAAAATAAATAATATTTCTCAATATCAAGTAAAGTTTTTGAACATGAAGCTGACATATTTGGGATGTCAACCACCATCAAAATTATAATTGAATCAATATTGAATATATAAAGTACAGTTAGCTGTGTCCCTGTTGTGAGTACATGTATATGCGTGTGTACACATATATACAATGTTTGTTTTTACAGAAATTGTATTATTTTTTACCTGTAAGTACATATACATCTTTATGACAAAGGTCTTTCCTACTAGAACAGTTATTCCAAGGAAAAAGAAAATTACTGGTTTAACCACTAAGAAGCTGTAAAATGTTTTGGGGTCCTGAAGTAAACAAAAATAATGGTTTGAGACATATGACTGTATCATATTATTGTCTTCATATTTCTATCATGGTTAGAGTGTGCAGACCAATAATCATGAAAATTACTTTTAGAAATTATTGTTGTTACCACAGATTAAAATATTAAGACAAAATGTTAATTATGTTTTTGAAATGTTTTCTTTTTCAGCTGACTGTGGAGGGCCGGTTGAACTCTGGGAGCCAAACAGTACATTCAGCTCTGCAAACTTTCCAAACAATTACCCTAATTTAGCTTTTTGTAAGTCATTCTTTTCCAAACCCTCAGGAGAAGCTTAAATATATAAAAGTAGAGATACTAAATCTGCTTTTCCAACTCAGATGTTGTCAAACAAACAAACAGAAAAGATCTGAGGTATATACAGTGGGATCTTTTAACTGCATTCTATATGGTACTGAATTAAAGCTAAGGAAACGTGCCAGCTGATTAAAAAGGGATGAAGACAAACATTATCCAATGGAAGGGGTCCAGACAGGCCAATTCCATCCTGCCTACTATGTCAAATATCTTTATATCAATCCAGCAGCACATAAGGTGATGAAAGTCCCCATTTTACCATAACCTGGTACATCTGCCGGGTTAATATCATCACTTCTGCTGTTAAATAGCTCACATTTTCTAGAGGCAAAGAATATGTGCATGCATTTTGTAAAGAATCCTCTCTTTATTGAATGTTTCTTAACATACTAGTCAGAAGACATAGTTATTCTACTGACATTACTTGATTTAGATTAAATGAGAGCTGGCAAAAGTGAAGGCTTCAAGGTGGTTCACTATGTCTTGATGAATAAAGCAAGAAAGAGAGCTTTGTCATTGCTTCTTAATGAAATTTTAATTATTTATTCTTTCAATCCTGGAGAATTGTGCTGGGATGGTAATCATAAGAATTGTCATTTTGTGTTTCTGTTTTGCTTGAGGTATGGCTCACATTTCCAGGATTCATTCCACAAGTTCCCAAATGAGATTTCTGTTAGTGAGAAAATACTTTTCACTCCTTAAAAAAATATATTTTTTTTACTTTCTTTACAAGATTTCTATAGTATCCACACCTATTTTTAATATGATAAAGTATAGTCTAAGCAAAGCAAAGAGGTACTTTAACTTCAAAGACAGGCTTATGTGACTGATTATAAAAATTATCTTACTATCAAATGAGACTTAAGTGACAAGACTATTTGTCGCATTGTCACTGTCATTAAAAAATGAAATTTACTACCTTGGGGAAACTCAAAGCTGACATGAATGATTAAAAACAAATGTGTATATGTTGTAGAAGTCTAAACTTAGTTTTAAAATATTTTAAGAATGAGAAACTATAGAATTTTGGATCTTGGCAGCTTTTAAATACAAGATTTAAACTTCTTAATTTCTTTGGTGATTATTAACAGTTTAGGAGATTTTTTTTCTCCCCACAGCCCTTCAACAGAAAAATGGCACAGCAAATATATCACTGAAAAGGTGATTTTTATGTGTGTGTGTGTTACTATTTTCCAGGTGTGTGGTACTTAAATGCTGAAAATGGAAAAAACATCCAGCTTCATTTTCAGGTTTTTGATCTGGAAAGTATTCATGATGTAGTTGAAATCAGAGATGGCAGAGGACCAGATTCCTTACTTTTGGGCAAGTAGCAGCAGTGGGTACTAAAATGAATGTAATCAGACAGCTGGAGCAAACTGATGGATATAATACCATGGAAATTAAATTCCTCTCATTTCATTTGCATTTTTTTGGGCCTTATTTCAGAGGAAATTCAGAGGAAAAATTGAGAAATCATACTTTATGTGATATCAGGTTTCCAAAACATTTGCACACACACCCAGCTCTCCGTGCAATCCATCTGAAATAAACTTCTCAGTGAATCAGACTGTTTATGTGTGTGGACAAACAGATAGATAATCTCTTAGCTGAACCTTACTGCTCTATGCTGATTAGTCAAATCTGGTGTTGGAGTGTGACCATGGCAGTCTGAGTGCAGTTAGCTTTTGTGGTGGCACTATTTGCTTTTGAACCCAGAGCATTTTGAAACACATATGACCAAAATAGGCTGAATGTACTCATGTTTTCCTGGTGAATAGCTGTCTACACAGAGAGAGGCCCACTGCCAGATGTGTTCTCCACAACAAACCAGATGACAGTGATCCTCCAGACAGACAAGTCTGCAACAAGGAAGGGATTTCTTGCAAACTTTACTACTGGCTACCATCTAAGTAAGCATCTCACCTTTGTATTTAAGAAATTAAACCACTGGTCAAATGTATTTCAGAAAATGGAGAGAGTGCAAAGTGACTCTCAGCACTTGCTCAGTAGAAATGCAAATGTTAAAGAGGAAAAGGCTGGTCAATCATCTGTACTTTATATTTCCTGGAATTAAAAGTGATGGGTTTGTTTCTTAGTGTCATTGGAGCAATGTCTAGATCATGTGCAACTCTGTGATACTATGTGGAAAATTGCTCAGTATTTTGACCAAAATCTTTTCAGATGTTAAGAGGGCAAATACTAACCATTGCCTATAAAAAACCCAGGAAAAAGCAACAAAGGATGTCATTAAAGGGTGTTTAAATACATTTGTAAAATAATTACTATTTATATCATGCACTAGAAGAGAAAACTGTATGTGGTAACTCTGATCAATATTTGCTATATGGTTCTTCTTGCATATTTAAAAATTTGGTCTTCAGTGTGTGAATAATCTGAGTCTCTTAAATATTTGGACAGCAGTGTTTCTTGTTCCAGCCAGATCCCTTCTGAAAGGCTCTTGATTTTCTTGGGGACTGCAATTAGACTTGTCACTCATAATTCAGCAATCAACTCACCAAAATATGCAAAATGAGCATAATGCAAATTGCATGAAACAGTAATATGCTTAGCAGGACAAATAATTATACTAACTCGAGGCCAAATCTTGACTGAATTAATTAGAGGCTTTGCATTACTTTTGTGGAAGTCTGACAGGAGAAAAACAGAAAAAGAAAAAGCAGTATGTATTGAGAGATGTGTGAAGTACCATGCAGTTATCTGAACAGAAAGTCAACAAGGATCTAAGCTCTTTTTCTTACTTTAACTCTCAGAAATGGCAAGTTTCTCCCAGTTTGTTTAGCCAGTGGCAGATTTTTTATGAATTCACAGTAGTAATAATCTTACTTTTTAAAATATTTTTAAAATCTTCACTTTTGATCTACATTTATAAAATGTACTCTGTTTTTATTCTTAATTGTCTGCTATTTCTCTCAAAATTATCTTTATTTTGAAAGAGAGATGAATGGAAATGGAAAGAAAAGGAAATCAAAGGCTCTTCATGCTATCAACACAGTTTTCTTCAGATTAACTGTAAGATATCCTGTGAACATCAGCCTTCCTCACAACTACAGATGAATTCTCCTCTCTTGTTTCCCTTTAGGGGCTTGTACAGTTGATGAGCATCAGTGTGGTAGTGGGAAATGCATCCCATTGCACAACCTGTGTGACAACATACCTCAGTGTGAAGATGGCTCTGACGAAGCAAAATGCAGTAAGGCTTCCTTCATACAAAGATATCATAGAATAATTTAGGTTGGGAAAGACTATTAAGATCATTGATTCTAACCATTAATCCATCACTGCCAAGTTCACTGATAAACCATGTCACTCACTGCTACATCTACATGTGTTTTAAACCCTTCCAGGGATGCTTTGCAGGTTGACATGCTTAACAGCCCTTTTGGTGAAGAAATTATTCCTAGTATCAAACCCAAGTCATGCATATTTGGCAGGAATTGCCTAGAAAAACAGCCCCAGAACCTCAGCTAATGTAGACCACTGCAGATGCACACAGGCCATGCCAATTTGCACAGCACTACCCCACTGATTTTGTCAGGGCCAGGAAAAGTCACTTTTCTGATAAGTGTGTGGAATATGGTGAAGAACTCTGGAAAAGGTAGGAAGCTTGTCTGTGCTGAAAACTGTAGTTGTTTATAATGGCCTCAAAATTAAATGAAAACTCAACATATGCTTTTCTTCTGTATTTATTTTTTATTTCCAAATTATACTGGACTTTGCTGTAATTAATTAGAGTTTCACAGCAGTAAAAATTCTGCAGTGCAGGATAGAGAATAAACGCGTTTTTGGTGAAAATTCCCAAATAGTTTTGTGAGTGTGAAGCCAAACTGTAACACTTCCAGCCCACCTGGACTCCATGGGGTGAATGGGTGGCATTCATCAGCAATGAAAGCAGCATCCATTGTTTACTGCTATTCCTCACTTTTCTGGTAAAGTGGCTCTTTCCAAAATGCATGTGTACAGTATACAAATTCATTTTACACAGCAGGGAAATAAAATTCCCTAAAACAATAGTTTAAATATAGGACTAATGCTAAAATCATGTTTGGCCTAGCACAGAAGTTAAACTGCTCTTTCTGACAATCTACTTTAGAGAACTAAAGGAAGATTTAAAAGTGTTCTTTGAGCTTGGCAAAATTTCTTTGTTTTGAAAAGGTCTAGTAGGGATCAGATATGTTTTTTGATGTGTGCTGACAGTCAATTGCTGACTTCAACATTTTTTACATGTATATATATAAAAGTATGCATGGCATATGTAAATACAGACAGATGATAGATAGATAGATAGATAGATAGATAGATAGATAGATAGATAGATAGATAGATAGATGTCTGAAGCACAGATTCACTCCTCAAATCAGTGCCATTGGCTATTTTGTGGCAAATATATTCTTCCTTTAAAACGTATAGTATAAAATTCACTCCAGTTTCTTCGTAAGCAAAGAAAATTTGAATTTAATTTTCCAGTCATTGATGAAGAAGAGCTGAACAAGAAAACCATCACCTACATTAACATGATGTACATTTTCCCAAAGATTTATTTTGCTACTGATTGTCCATTACTTCATAACAAATTATCTCACATGAAAAGCCTGGGAGATTTGTTTCAAAAAATCCATTTAATCCAAACTTTGGCTAAATCGATCTACATCTTAAAACAAATGAAAATTCAATTAGAAACTCTCACATTGAGTCTTTCCAGTATCCAAAAGCCTTGCTCATTTTCCTGAAACAAATTTCAATGACTTCTCAGAAGTGGCAGTTTGAACTAGACAAACTGTCTTTTCAAATCCTCCAACTTCTGAAACTTCCAGGGACTGCAAGGAAATGCCAAAATTCTAAAATATATGATATCTGCATTAAGCAGTTGTTGGATCCTCAATGACTTTATTATTCCTTACCAATAATGTATTTGGAGAAGAACATGGATCTGATGAGGAGAAAGGAAAAGGACTTATAATTCAAGTTCTCTCAAGAGGACGGGTGTCAAAAGTAATTTGGAGAAATCTTGTAATGCATACAATTCCAAGATGCTTAAGAAGCTCAAAAATTTAATTTAATTTAATGTTATTTAATCTAAAATTAATTACCAGTATAAATCACCTCTATCATTCATGCACTCCAGGTGTCAGAGAGGCATTTCTAAAAATCTAAATGTTTTATTTACTATGGTGGGTACTCTATGTGTAAGCATTTTGGTGGAAAAAGCTTTTTTTCACAGGTAAGATTTTTAAAAAAAAATATTTTAGAAAACAATATCAGTGCATTGCATGCTTTTATCTACTTCACAGTGGCAATACCTGTAATCTGCCTAAAATGCAGCTGTAGCTGCTAAGACATATATGATACTCTGTTTACATTATTATATATAAATTTAAGATTATATAATAAAATTCTTATTTTATATACACGAGATTCTGTTGGCTGTGCAGTCTAACTTCCTTAGTCAGTACACCAATAAGACTTTTTACCAGTAAGTTAATGAGTTTCTGAATTCTTGTTCTCAATATTTTATTTTGGGAAAAGTTTTTATAGATGGGCTATTTTTCAGTGAGCTTTAATTTTAAGTATGAATGTTTTAACCATAATTGCAACAAAAACAGTGACAATTGGAAGTGGAAATCTATTTTTTTTTCATTAAGACGTATTTTAACTTTGTTTCCAGTCAGTATTACTGACCATCATGGAACTAAAGCTTCACTAATTATTTGGAAATTATATTATGCTAAGAAAAAAATGTGCATTGTTTAGAGTTAATGGAAAATGTACTGTTTATTGTCTATTTCCAAGACATATGCAAAATACAAGGTATGAAACTCTCTTGTGGCAGAAATATAGGAAATAACAATAGCATTTCCTTCCTGTGGGAACACAACATCCTGGAGATGCTGAGTTTATTACCTCCATAATGCATTTTTACCTTTTTTTTTGTGTTCTTCATTGGCAATAATAAATCTCTTTATATTATATTTCTGTTTTCTTGGGGTGGGGGAGTGGTTTGTCACCAATCTAAAATGCTTCTGCCTGTTTTGCTCTCCAGTGAGATTACTCAATGGCTCTCTGATCATTGAAGGGCTGGTACAGGCCAGGGTTGGGAAGATGTGGCACCTGGCATGTGCAGATGATTGGAGTGGAGAGATTGCAGACAGTGTTTGCCAGCTGCTGGGGCTGGGGTGAGTGATAAATATTCATTGTTCTTTGTAACTTGTTTGCAGATTTGTTGAGTGCATTTTGGCATTTTCCTCCTCATTTTACTGGTGTACTCTCCAAAAACATGGCAAATGTATCTGTCTCTGTCAAGTGGAGAGCTTGGTGTGCCAACAAATTTGAGAATGTGGCAAACCCTGTCTTGATGACATTCAGTACAGGATTGATGACTCTGAACATGGCAGGTTGGGCATGAGGATACATATTGGAGAACACTGGGAAAGTGTTGTGGATGCATCATCCTTTTATCACTTTTTATCATCATTTACATCTTCACTTTCATAAGGATGGCTCAAGAGTAAAGTTGGAGCCAAGAGCAGCCTTGTCTCCTCTGCCTTTGTAGTGCTGCACTTCATTCCTAGTAGAGATAACCACATGGATATTCTGCTAGAATAGAATGGAATTCTAGAATTCTGCTAGGTAGAATGGAATTTCAAGGTAGACTTAGAGCAGGAATGAAGTAGGGAAGTATGTGGCAGAAAAATAGATTTGGCTTTAGTCCTTGTTCAGAAGAATTTTCAGGGGAATCATGGGGATTGTTGAGTGCAGGGTGTTGCATTTTTCAATCTATGGTAAAATTTATGGCCTAAATTTTGGCCTTACTTATGTGCTACTCCACTTCCATCCACTGAATAATAATTAGTTTTCCTGCAATGCTAAGGTTTTTGGTGAATATCCCTCACCAAACTAATAATCAAACTAAATTCTGAGCTTGGAATTCATTATTTTGGTCACTGGCCAAAGAATGATGCCTACAAATCCCATTCTGATAGATTAATTGTAGTAATAACAGAGTTAGAATGACTTAGAAAAATATTCGAGTGTTATTTCAGAAATGCTTTGAATTGGATGAATGTCTGCTGGTTTGTTGGGTTTTTACTTTCTTCCTTTGGGTAAGTACTGATTTTACATAAAAATCAGGTAGTACATGCAGAAATCCCAACTAATTTATGTACACATGCATGTAAGAACATACAAATTATGTTTAAGTGTGCTTCTGGTCAAATACCTTGTTCCTTAGCATGGCCAGTGGTCTTCTTCCTCTGATTCTTTCTGCCCCTGCCCTGCCTCTTTTCCCTTCTGGACAGAAGTAATTTTGTGGTCCACTCATTTAATTGACACATTTGATAGACTAAAACAAACTTTACCTTCCATGGTATTCTAACTTTTAACTCTTACTTAATGCTTTTGTCCCCATAACATTCTGTGGCAATATCTTTCAGGTTATCTCTGCAAACTGAAAAAAAAAAGTGTACTCAGGTGCACTTGCTAAAAGAGTTCCTAATAATCTTCCTAGTTATTTCTTATTTATTCAATTTCTCTCCCATTATCAAGGGAAAATATTTTTAAACCTAACTTGTATCACTTTTTTGTAACCTGGGTGCTACTGCTGTTACAGCACAGGACAAAATTCTCATATGGGTGTGTCTATATTTATGTATGTATTGATATATGAATGGGTGTATATATATATGTGTAATTCCTGTGAGCCTTCCTTGAATCCCCCTGTAGCAGCATATTTCTTTATAAACATCACCATATTTGTTACTAAATGGATGTTTGCAATAGCAGGTCCTGAGTAGGAGCTCATGCTCCTACACTGAATTACAACCTAGAATCATGTTTTATTAGAAAGACAGGCTAAAGTTCATCTAGGACAATTTAGCTTTACTATTAATTGTTTATACATTTGCTAGTCTCACTTTCTGTTTCATTTATGAAAAGGACTGAGCTGATAGGAGTCCTATATCATATCCTGATTATTTATGTACCTGGGCTACAAAGTGCAATGTTCCTCACAGGTTCTAGTAAATCTTACATGTGAGATTTTGCCTCCATTTTTCAAATATGTGACTCTTGCATTTGTAATTTGTACCAAAGAAGCCAGTCTGGAGACATGCTTATTGTGCATCTGCAAAATACACCTCAGGCAAATAATTTACAAATCTTCTTAATGAGTCTGGGCTGCATGATGAACAAATTGATGCTCTAGAGAAACCTGAAAATAATCCTTTGCAAGCTACAAGCTTGCACTTGTAGCTGTGTGCATCTGACAGCAATGCTAAAATCTGCTTGTCACCATCTTATTTCCTGGAACCAAGAAAATCACACACTGAGCTTTCCCCCATTGCATTGGGCAGATGCAAAACAGTCCTTTTTCCCTGGGACCAGAGCCAGCTGGCTCTTTGATGAATTGTACCCAGGAGTAATGGTAGACCTGTCAATTTTGTCACACCTAAATGTCCAACAAGAAGTGAGAGTTTAGGCTTTACTCTGAAACCCTTCATTCCATTTTCTTCATGAACTTGCAACATTCTTCAGAAGGAAATTCATTCCTGGGAATACTTTGCTGGTCTCAGCAAAGTTCTTCATCATAGAATTTGAGTCTGACTACCTGGCTTGGAACTTTACTTCTTTTTCAGAGTGTCTAAAAGGCACTTCCAGGCTGAGAAATGCAGCAGTAGTGACTTTTCCAGCGGGTGGATCATACAACTCTCCTGGTGGCACAGCAGGGTTGTTGAACACCTCTTTACTTCATACACAGCAGATTTGCAGGCAGATTCCAGACTTCATCCTTCCCAGGAGAGTGAGGTTTAGTGCATTTGAAGAGAAGACACAGTGCAGGTGCTCCCTGTATTAAACAAATGGTTCTCTTCTTGCTCCTGAGATGTGTAAGGTTAAAGGGCCAGATGTGAGGCTGTCATTCCCCCAAAAATTATGCAGTCTAACCACAGCTATCTTTTTTTCCCCATGCTTCCTCAAGGGAAAGCACATATGTTTCAAAGATATATGTTTCAAACTGGTCATATGACATATCACAAAGTGTATGAAGCAGAATGGACTATAAAGTAAATCTGGATATGGCTTCTAAATGTCAAAACAATTTGTATCACTAATAGTACACAGAATTCTTAGTTCAGAAAGTCGTTGTTACAAGAAAAACACCAAAGTTAGTCAAAGAATAGACTAATTGATTCCTTTAAATTGACTATATGACCTTTAAAGGTACCATCCAACCCAAACTGTTCTGTGATTCTGTAACTCTATGAATATATCCCACTCTTGATCAATAGCAAACATAACACTATTGACTTATTCCACAGCCGGTCTGATTTCAACAGATCTATGAGGTGAAAATTAACTTTTTTATTTACTCCATTAGATTCTTCATTGTACAAAATATAATTTAATTTCTTTCCTAGCCAGCAATTGCTAGTTGTACTGCATCCCTCCAAAAAGCAAGACTGTGATACTCCAAGGCTCAGCTATTACTGCCCTGTTTGGCATACTAAGTTCTTGCTCCATACATTTAAGAATTGGTATTTCAAACCCTTCATTGTGGCACACAAAAAGCCAAACTAAATATTTGCTTCTGTCAAAAGAATTAACTGATATTCCTTTCAATATTAATGTAGCATTAGAAATCTTAGAATAAGATGTAAGACTGGAAGACACTCACATTTTAATCTGAAAAGTTTCAAGCCCCAAAAATCCCCTGCTAAAGGGTCATTATTTGAGGAGAAGAAAAAAAATTTAAAAGCTGGTGTTTTTTCTATCAGCATAATCATTTCTAAATATTGCTCCACTGGTGGAATAGGGTATATATCTAAAAATGTGCATGTGTCTTTTTGTCCCAGGGATGCAAATATGTCATCAGCTGTATTATTCACTGGAGATGGTCCATTTGTCACCATCACCAAAGGAGGCCACCACAGCCTAATTTTTACAAAAAGGTGGGTACAGTGAGGTTTCTTCCTCATACAAATTATGTATTTAACTGTTGTGGTGATTATTTATGCACTAATATATAGCTCAAATTCTAATTGACCTCTCTATTCATTTACTGTGGAAAGGATATGCTCTTTTATCAAAATGTTTCTTGTCTAGAAATCTCTAAATAATGAGTACATAATATAGTAGAATTAAGACTACCTATATGTAATATAGAAGAATTAAGATGGAGTGACATTCACCTATAGTTATAGAGTAATTGTCACAGTAGGTTCTCTCTGTAATCAGCAGAGAAAAATAAGCACTCCAAAATGTGATCCATCAAGGCACCTCTTGAAATATGATGAGTCACACTCTATACTCCTTTGACTTTATTGATATAGACTTTGGACACAAAGGATTGCTAATTTAAGCCATCCACAGACAGGAATCTATATTTAAACAAACTATCCCCACTCAAAAAATGACTTCTGGATTTGTCTCCACCTTTACAAATGAATCATTAGATGACATGATCCTCAGAATACATTTGATTCTATTCCAACCTTTCTCAGTCTAAATAACTGCTGAAGGGGCTCTGAAGGGTACTAGAAACTGGTAATTTCTTGTAGATTAAATGAAAATGTGATATTAGCCCAGGATTATATCCTCAGGATGTATAATACAACCAGAAAGGCTTGCCATCATCAGTTTAAAGAATTGTAATTACTTCAATTACTGCTTTCTGTTTATAAGAGGCTTTACTGTATAATTTTTTCTGGATTTCTACCAGAACACTGACCCAGAAAATTACTGTCTAATTGCTAAAATGCTGAAATCGTGTTAAGGACAGTAAAAGTCCATGTTCTTTCAGTTTCCCTTAACAAACATACCACATAGTAACAAAGCGGGAGACGTGTTAATTTTCTATGGTCTATTATTTTGTCTACAGGGAAAAAAAATAAAAGTTACATTTTCTGTTCTAATTATACTCTGTTAACCCCAAACATTTATCATTCTCATGTGTGGTGAAAGTATCTTAAACTAATGGAATATCATTGGAGGCTATTTTTCTTTTTTTCTTGAGTAAATCTAAACCAGCATTGCCACAAGACATCTTGAAGAGCTGTAATGATTTAAAGACGTCTTCTGTTTGTACCTGTTAAACACTAAAAGTGATTAAAACAGGAGGAAATGGAATAAATTCATTTATCTTAGTTGTATTTCTCTTGCAGAAATAGGTGCCTTCTTCCATGTTTCAGCTGATAGGAATCATTTTGCAGGGTGACATTATTGCAGATTCACACACAGTTTTTCTACATATAATGAATGCTAGAAATATCACAGAGATTTGATAATTTAAGTAACTGAATTCGTTAACTGCTAATCCAATTATAAAATGTATTTCTCACATTTGTCTTTGTTTTTTATTCAAGTGCATCCATCATTGAAACAAAGGAGGGCACATATAATAGGGCTTGAAATCTGTAGTGACAGAGACGGCAAAAGAATTCTCTGGTGCCCTTAGGTAATGTGATTTTTGGCAGGATAGCTTTGTAAGAGCCCCAGATCCTGCCTTTTAGATACATGTGAGCAGATTCCACAGGGACTAATTGTTTTTGCCAGTTCTAAGTGAAGATCATGCTCACAGATATCCTAAATACTCCAGATTTCTGCCTGGCGTGCTGCTTGACAGCTGACACTCAGAGAGGCACAGAGGAGAGTGTTCAGCACATGCCTCTGTGTCAGAACTCAAAATGTCCCTCAGACATTTTTGGATGTTCCGGGTCCAGGCCAGAAGCATTTGAGACCCTGGCAGGCAGCTGGAAACAGCTGTGATTTTGGATTTGAACCATGGAATGATTTACCAACCTTGCAGGAAGAACAAGAAGTCACAAAAGTTTAGATATTATAGTAGAAGTAGTCACAAAGTAGAGGGAAGAATTTTTGAGTGCTGTACAGGGGAGTTTTAGTTTTGTACATGGGGGTCAGAGGTTTTAAGATGGAGGGATTTGGGCCTGCCCTGTCCTCCCTCTTTCTCCTTCCTTACCTCCATGTTCTTGGTGATGTTGGCACTCACAGGTTGGTTTAGAGTAGAAAAGCACCATTTAATATAGGTAACAGGCATTGGGGAAAAACTGTAAACATTTAAAATGTAATGTACCATATAAAAGACAGCAGCAGCCCTGGGCGGGGAGAGAAGAAGCAGTCGGGGTCAGAGAGGATGTCAGGGTGTGTGTGTGCCTCTGCCTGAGCTGTGAGCAAACCACAGCAGCCCGAGGAGAAAATCTTTTAGATAACTTGCAATAAACTGCCTTGATACTGGACAACAGAAGACTATTGTGCTTTTTTTTTGAAAGCACGGGTTGGAGGAGAGATTTTCCACCACAAGGAGCCACCCCTGACCCAGGGTGAGCTCTGGCACCTCTGGTGCCTTTTGGCCAGTCCTGGCAGACCAAGAGGCAGCTGGGAGGTGTTGGGCTGAAGTGCAGGCAAAGAAGTGCTTCTCCTGCTGGGAGCTAGCTCCACTAAGAAGACAAAGCAGAGGCAAATGAAGCAATTTCTACTGAAGGAACCAGTAGGTACTTGTGGTGGGACAGGCAACTCCCTTTACACGGAAAATGTAAAATTATAGGGACAAATCTGACACTTTGGTTGTTAGTTCAGGTTGTTTATGCATCTGCCTATGAGAAAGCATAGTATCAGATACAATACCTAATATACAGCACCACTGATCCCCTCTGTGAATGCCTATGAAGGCATAGTGGAAAAAGGTATTTAGTTGTTATGATATTTATGCAGAGGTTTTTGCTTTCTTGCATTTTTGGTTTCTTGATATTTGTCGGGTTACAGACTTGGATACATGTCACAGAAAATGGTTTCCTACAACTTTAAAATTAGGTACCTACCTTGAAGAGGAAAACATCAATGGGAGACGATTCAGGGCCAGAGGAATAACTCAATTGCACCCCACTATAGTGAAGGTTTAACTGGGGAGGTGGTTGCAGTTCTCACTTTATTTCATGTACCTCTGTGCCACTGGGAAATTGTTGGCTCACACCTCACTCACAGCAGATATCAAATATTGGAGCAAACACAGGGAGGGATACATCATTCCCCATCATGTTTAAAGTATCCTTCACTTACTCTATTTAAAAATGAGATGTGGAAATGCTCGCTTGAAACAAAACATTGGCAGAGCTTGGTTTCGTTTTCCTCTCATTCTTATTTCTGTGTGTATCAGATTTGAATTGCTAGCACACACACTGTCCCAAGTGTTTCAGATTCATTACAGACTATGAACATAATATTAAAACCTCTGGGTATCAGAAATGCTTGAGCAGTTTTGATCTATGGTCTTATGCTCTTCAGACACTGGCTTTAAATATTTGCTAAATAATTTCTAACCTAGCATATGCAACTACATATTTTAAAGTAGCATTATTTTCTTAGTAAAATGATACAGGGATATAAAACTAACCTATTTAATTCTTTGGCCACACTGATCTCTAGTGGTAAGGTACTGAAAACATCTCAAAAGGTAGGAAAAAATATCATATGCAGCTAGAACTTTATTGCAAATCTGTCTGGGACAGATGACCCATTTCCCTAAAACATGTGTCTACTTTTATTTCCATAATATCAATCAATTAAGTGCCCACTGAAGATGAATATGTACATTTAAAGTTGCATAACCTATAATGTTGTATACTTGTAATTAAAGCATAATTTAAACGTAGCATTAGTTATTATACTTAACAGGCTGATACTGCTAAATGAATGTACTTTCATATATATTATTGTATAAATTTGTGTGTGAATGTATATATATATATTTGACAGTCAGAGTTATCTGGTGTGCAGGTACTTGTGATTTAATTGCACTTTCATTCTAGAGAACACTGTTTGGACAACCTGGTGGTTCATCTGCAATGTAACATTCAATGTAAGTACACAGAATCCAGGAATATTTCACAGAGAGATCAAATAGTTCAGACCATAAAGCTAAATGTTTATAGCTTGAATGGAAAGGTTAGGGAATACACTATAAATGCTTTATTCATACTGATATAAACAAAGGAAAATTTAGTCTTCATTTGATTTCTGTGTTAAGTGTACACTGGAGATGGATCTGTAGTGAAAACATTTATAAAATAAATGTATAAAAATTCCAGAAGGTCAGAGGAAAGAAAACATCTAAATCCAACTTAGACAGTTGCATCTTGATTTCAGCTATAAAACCCAAGCTTTTTTCCACAGTATTTTTGGATAGGAATTCAGATTCTACAGAGCCTTGTTTTTTACAAGAAAGCTGACTAATCATAAAATACACAACATCCCTTTAATATTTTATTTTATTTTATTTTGCTTTATCTTAGCTTGTGGAAAACACCTGGCAACTCAGAATAATGGAACAAGAATTGTAGGTGGAAACGATGCCAGAAAAGAGGCTTGGCCTTGGATAGTTTCACTCCATTTTAATTTCCAACCCGTTTGTGGAGCTTCCCTTGTCAGTGATGAGTGGCTGGTGACAGCAGCACATTGTGTCTATGGGTAAAGTTCTTTTATGTATAAATTCACTGAGGCATCAGATTATGAACAAATTGTGACACTGATATGAAAAATTAACAACTAACTCCTGTATAATTACAGTGTTTTGAAAGCTCCTTTACTTCCTGGTAAACCCTCAGTCCTTACCCTAATGCAGAGAATTCTGGAACTAAGCAGCATTTCCTGAGTAATAAGGAATTGCACTTTAAATGCATGGTATTAATACTGAGCATTGGTACTTAATCCATAATTATTGTGGGCCTCCATAAATTAGGTGAATCCCTACCAGTGGTATAAAAGGTGACATCATATCCCATAAATTAAACCCACCATTCTTCCTGTATATTATCCTGGATTGATCAAGATTTACTGTGCATCACTGGAATGAATCTTAAATTAATCTGTGCATTGATTAGGCAATCCACTCTATTCAAAGAAGTGATGCATATTGAAATATTTTCTAGGATTTGCTTTCATAATATCTACAATAAATACAAGTGTTGTAAAAGACGTATAGAAATTGGAATGGCAAAAAAAAAAAAAAACCACAGAAACACCCCNAAAAAAAAAAAAAATCACAAAACCAAAACCAAAATTAGAGTAGAGCTTTCACTACAAATAGAAAAAAAAAAAAAAAGTGGAGACTGTGCCAAAATCCTAATGCTGCCTCATGGCATGACAGGCACTACATTCCACACAAAGACACTAAAATGAAAAGGATTAAGCTCTCTTAGTTTCCACACGATAAATCTACTATTGTCTTGATATTTCTTTGTCACTTGAATCACCTTTCTATTTTCAACTAAATCTAATTTTAACATCTTGCCTTTGCTAGAATTTTCCTAAATTGAAGCTTGAAGTTTCACACCTTCTAAACATTTTAGTTGGACACTCTTAGTTTAGAACAAAAGAACCTCTTGATGTCAAACCAAAAGATGAGCAGAAACAAATTCAGTCCAACAATCAGGCTGATTTTAATCAATCACCATAAAGTGATTGATTAAAAACCAGAAAATATTTAGGTTCCCTGATGAACACAGTCTCAAACCAGCATCTGTAGATTAGGAAAAAAAAATGCAGATTATGCCAAATTTTTTCTTAGCATATCTTGTTTGATTGAGGTTAAGAAGTAAGAGACTAGCTTTCTGAGTCTATGAGCTGCAGCATTTCCAAGAACACCTCAGACTTCTTATTCTTTAGACATTCCATTGCAATTTTCTAACTGGGCCCAATATTAATTGCCTGCTGGGCAGTCAGTGGTATTCTTTATAGTGTTTAAAAAGCCATGGTAATTTAGTTAATGTATTTTCCTCTGCTGCACCACTACCTGATTAATTCATTATAAATAATGCATTATAAGCTCACCACAAAAAAATCAGCAACACATATCTGCAGCGTGGATGTTTAAGACAGTGATACAGAATTCTAAGCACATCTACCCTGTTCTATTTATTTGACAAAACGTACACAGGTCATGGATTACCACGAGGCTGAATCTCAGCATTTTATCTGACACAAATTTTTCAAAACTTCCATTAATCATTCCTAATTGTGAATACTCCCCTTGCAACTTCCAGGAGACAACAAAAGCCGTCCCGCTGGCGAGCGGTTCTGGGCTTGTACAGTCAGTCAGATCTGGCCCAGCCTCCAGCAGCAGTTCAAAACATCGACAGAATCATCATAAATCCTCATTACATGAAGCAAACAAAAGACAGTGATATTGCTCTGATGCACCTTCAACACAAAGTGCAGTATACAGGTGAGTTTTTATTTTCCCAAAAGATCCATTTATTCCCATTTATTCTGTTATGCAGAACAGTGCTAAGCGTATGGGGGTGATGGGGAGTCCACTCAGTACTTCCTGGATATCTTGGCAAAAAAAGGGTTTGAATTAATGAATGTTTTCTGGTATGACTTCATAAAAACCTGAATACAGGGAAGAAGATGAAAATTGATTACTTGTTTCTCATTCACAGATTACATACAACCTATCTGCCTACCAGAAAAAAATCAACAGTTTTTACCAGGGATTAACTGCTCCATTGCTGGCTGGGGAAATATCAGGAATGGAGGTAGGTCACCTGCTTGGAAAATTCTGACAGGCTGTGAGGAGAATCTTGTTCCTATTCCACAGGAGTAGATAAGGTCAAATAATTTAGAGAGCTACTCTTCCATAATGAAAATTTAGGAACATTCCCATTCCACTATTCCGTCAGCAAAATGATGGTTATAATGGATCTCTTAGAAGAAAATATGCATATCTAAGTTCATTAGGCCATGAAGAAAGCTTCCTACATCCACTTAGATGTTATGATGACTACTTTTCTCAACATGAAATACGTACATCTCGGTTCCCGATATTGGGTGGGGACAGAGGAAGATTAGTCTTTCTGACAATGTGCAAATGATTTTCCCCAGAAGTCAAGAAAACTGCAGTGTGAAATGTATGTTCTGTTTGTATGTCACATGCTCCAGATTTGGAATCTCTCTGAAATAATAAATATGCCATTTCACTTCCACAGTTGAATACATTGACTTCTACATTGAATTGAATTTAAAATTTTGGGTAGCAATCAATAAAATAATTTAAAAAAAAACTTTAAATAAGCAAAATTACACAATGAATAGTGAGGAAACACTAGACAGCCCATGTTCCTTAGCCTTTAATCATCTCTTAGATCTCCCCACAGTGAGTTCATAGTCATTGATTTTAGCAACCCTGATTCAATTGTAACCAAATTCAGTCCCATTACACAAATGAAAGACACAATTCAGTTAATGATCCCTGTTTAATCAGTGACTGTGTTACAGGGGCATAAGCCTGAATAGTATAGCAGTAAGGCAGGGATTCCTGCTGCTCAGGAGTGCGCTGAGTATGCTGGAACAGGAACAAAACCATCAGCATTCCCAGTGGGATGCGTGTATTTGATACTGCAGGTAAATGCACTTTGTATTTTCATCAGGTCCCTCTTCAAATATATTGCAAGAAGCAGAGGTCCCTCTCCTTTCTAATGAAAAATGCCAGCAATGGATGCCAAAATATAATATTACTGAGAATATGCTCTGTGCAGGATATGACATGGGAGGAATAGATTCCTGCCAGGTAAGTAGAAGCAACTAATTTCCACTGATAGCTTAAACTTCATCTAGTTACTGAATAAAATGTTTCCTGATCCTCCACTCCTGAAAAACAGAACAATCCGTGTCTGTTAATGTAATTTCTACTCATGGTACTTTGACCATTTGTCAGGATAATTTATCAAGATACAAGTTTAAATTTTGTGTGTGTGTGTGTGTCATCTTGCTATAAACAACCATGGAGGGACATAAATATGAGCACTGGGAATTTTTTTGCGCTAGGCTTTGAATAATTCCTGCTGAGTAATTCCATGAAGGAGAGAGGCACATGCTTAGAGAAATGCAGAGAACAGAGAAATAAATACCAAATAGACTAAAGTCTCAGAAATCCTTCATTATGGGAAAGAGAGAGAGCAAAGCTGCTTTTCCCAGAATCTGTAAACTCTGGAGACCTTTCCTAAGCAGACACCAGAGTATTTCAAAGAGGCTGCCCTTCTGCACTGATATATGCTCTCTGGGTTTAGTTTTTATCCATTCCAGCTCTCTTTATAATTCGCTGCTTCTCTTTGATGATGTACTCAGAAGTGGCTGCCACATGATTTTTCTCCCAGCAATATGAAGTCTGTGGCATGGAGACTGGCTGGCTTCCCTCAAGCCTGATGAGGAAGGAGCACTCTCATCTAACTCCTATTGCCTTGCCCTACCAACCTAAGCCTTCACCACATGCCCTGACTTTGCCCAGTTTAGTCTAGAACAAAGACTCTATTCAAGCCTGATGTCCTTTCCTGTTGGAACGCAAAATGTCCCTCAGATATTTTTGGAGGTTCCAGGCCCAGGTCAGAAGCATTTGAGACCCTGGCAGGCAGCTGCAAACAGCTGTGATTTTGGATTTGAGCCATGGAATTATTTACCAACCTTGCAGGAAGAACAAGTCACAAAAGTTTAGATATTATAGTAGAAGTAGTCACAAAGTAGAGGGAAGAATTTTTGAGTGCTGTACAGGGGGGTTTTAGCACCTGTTCAGGGGAGTTTTGGTTTTGTACATGGGAGTCAGAGGTTTTAAGATGGAGGGATTTGGGCCTGCCCTGTCCTCCCTCTTTCTCCTTCCTTACCTCCATGTTCTTGGTGATGTTGGCACTCACAGGTTGGTTTAGAGTAGAAAAGCACCATTTAATATAGGCAATAGGCATTGGGGAAAAACTGTAAACATTTAAAATGTAATGTCCCATATAAAAGAGAGCAGCAGCCCTGGGCAGGGAGAGAAGAAGCAGTCGGGAGTCAGAGAGGATGTCAGGGTGTGTGTGTGCCTCTGCCTGAGCTGTGAGCAAAACACAGCAGCCCGAGAAGAAAATCTTTTAGATAACTTGCAATAAACAACCTTGAGACCGAACAACAAGAGGCTGCTGAGCCTTTCTTTGGAAGCTCAGGTTGGAGGAGAGACTTTTCCACCACACGGAGCCACCCCTGACCTAGGGTGGGCTTTGGCACTTTCTCCTCATGGTTTTTCTCTTTCCCTTTTTCTTTCTGAATCTTAAACTGAACAAAAACAAAACAATAACAACAAAACCCAAAACAAAACAAAAAACAATTCAGTGTAGCACCATAGGCTGATCCAGAGTACAAGTGACCAGCACTGTGATCAATGACCAGTCAGCCATGAGCAAAGAGGAACAACTGACTCCTGATAGCACATCCCCCTCTAGGCTGCTGTCACAGCCTTTCTCATTCTGAGATGCTCTAGGATATGGGCAGAAGTATTTTAATGGCTGAGTCCTTGCAGAATTCTCTGGTAAAGATTCATTCACAAAGCCTGGAGAAGACACAATTAGTACTGGTTCAACTACCTTGACAGACAATGAAAAATAGTAATTGTTTTCTTCCTCATCAAAACAAGACACCCATGGCTGACTCATTCCCACTCAAGTGAAATCAAATTCAGTCTCTATTACAATGGTACATCTGCTAAACTATTACAAAGGAGATGAGAGAAAAGGACACCTTCTCTTCTGGCAATCTTGCTGTTTATTTCTCGAAATTTGAAACTGTGGAAACTCTGGGTTGACTGAAAATAGAACTGTGTTTTGGCTGAATATATTCAACTGAAAAAAAAACCCTCCACATATACCCAGGCTTTGTGAAATATGAAGGCCTGAACAAAAAAGAAATAAGATAAAAAAAATCTCTTGAAGTCCAGTCCTGTATTGCAAGACTGATAACAGTTTAAGCTCATATCACTTAAAAAATAATGAAAAAATAAATTAATAATTTCATTTTTTTCACATTAAAATATTAATATTGATCTCACTTCCTGGTGCCTGGGAGATACAGGGGTAGAGCACCTATGATTAAGAAACAAAATGGACAAATATCATAAAGAGGCTCTGCCTAAGAGTTGACATTGTTCACGTTAAACTCTTGAATTTGTTATTGCAGGGGGATTCAGGTGGCCCTCTGACATTTGAAGATGGAGACAAATGGTTTTTAGTTGGTGTAGTATCATTTGGAGAAGGGTGTGCACTTCCCCAACAACCAGGAGTGTATGTTCGAGTCACCATGTTTGTGGACTGGATCAAAAACATCATCTATTAGCTTGATATTTTTTTAATTATAGCAATGGAATTTAGATGTTGAAAGTAAGACATTGCATAACGATGTAAACTAGGCTGCCATTTCAATCTTACAGAGAAACTGAATAAATACATAAATCTTTGTGAGGAAAACATTGGTAACTTCTTCTACCAATGTTAATAAGACCCATTCCCAAGTGAGCAGAATATTTCAAAAGTGATGCCGTGGTTTTGTTAAGAAATAGTTTTGTCAATAAATAGTTCTGTCATTTTACCTTTTGTTTTATATAGGATCTTGGGAAAACAGATTCTTTGAACATCAGTGCATTAACCGCACAGTGGAGGGTTTTACAAACTATGGGCATTAAAAAAAATGTTTGCAAACTGTAAATGCTGTAGTGGAAAAGAATCAAAATTGTTAATAACAGGTGAAATACTATCTGGTTTATGTTTTTACATTGTGTTTTTCAATGTGCAATTTCATATCAATGCAGAGTCAACTCTTCCCAGCAATCTCTCTGGATTTCAAAATGAAGGTGCTTTAACTGGGCTCATGAGAGTTCCTCTACCTTGCCTTTTACAAAAGGCTCTGGAGTGAGGTTTATGGATTGTGCAGAAAGGCTGACCAGGGATCATGCTGCTTTCTAATGAATAAACTGAATGTCAGCCAAATGTTCTCTCTTGTGTAGTGTGTTTGGAATTAATAGAGTTAAAAAAGGATTGAACAGAGCTTTTTAGTTTTCTTTCTAGGCAAGTGTTTGGCAATTATTCAAACAATTATAGAGATGGGCTTTTCCATGCCCAGCCACAGACTCATAATACTGCAACTTCTTCTCATAAAAAGTAATGGTTTTAAAAACATTTGACAATAATGAGTACCAGTTCTCCCTCATGAATAATAGTGTTTCTATATTATATGCTTTTTCTGTGCTGGTGAGCTTTAATAAACATTTTGTGCTTTGTGAAAAAACCAGCAGGGTATCCCATTACAGTATTCTAAATAGGAAAGAATATGAAAACATGAATAAGGGGTTTATCTTCTTGAGCTCTTTTATAAATATGTTTCTATTAAAATATAATTACTTACTTGTTCAAATGCCTTAAATTCTATGATGTCTTAGTGTAATATGGTGCACTTCTTTATTTCTGTTTTCAGACCAGTGTAGAACTTTGATGTGTTTATCATTCCACTGTACTGAAACTACAAAATGCATTCTCGCTGTATAAGTTTATCTACACATATACACACAGGTGTTATAAGCTCCTGGATTTGGTTCTTACAACCCTAAATGCAGGTATGAAGTGCTTGCAAACAGAGGTTTGCAGTCACTAATAAAAAAAAAAAAAAAAAAACCAAAAAAAACCAAGTCCCAAACTGCTTTCGTGTCTTTGTAAGAATTAGAGAACCAGGTCCAGACCAAAATCTGCAGCTTTATCAAAACATCTGTGATCACAAAGAACACAGATAAACATAATTATGATAGAGAGAAGGTAAGAAAATGTTTCAGACACAGGCTCTCATATGAAAGACAGTTTTTTTTAAATTAAAATGTTAGAGTTGCAAATTTTATCTTTCATAGTGAACCATTGTTTCTCCTATTACTCTAAAAAGAAGAGTATTTTCCTACAAGTATAAATTTATTTGGATGAAGCAATTACATTAAAATGCTTAAGTAAAATGTGACCTGATATTTGCATTATTTACCATACATCACTATTGTATATTGTGCTTCAGTCTGTTAATGAAATACAAAAGCCACCTGAAAGCAGATCCAGTCACTAGAAAATGTACTTCCCAGGAATACAGTAAGATTATTTTATTTGTGTGTTTTTTCTTGCTTCCCAAAATGTGAAGCATAAATGTATTTTGAGATATACATTGATAAACTGCCTCATCAGACTGAAAAAGTTCTGTTATAAATCCTGGCATAAAAAGATACATCCTATAAACTATTTTAATTTAAAAAGCCATTTTATTTTAACTAATTATGTCTAGATAAAACTAACATAACCTTAATCAATCATATATATCCTTTGGTCAACATCCACAGCTTCAGTTGCTTGCAAATTAACCTATGGAGGAACCAGTCAATACTATGTCAAAACACTTGGGCAGATTAATTGCAATTATAGTCAGTTCCAAGATGCTTTGAAACAAAGGATGGGTATGGTGATAAATATGGAATTATTTTGTCCCAATAGCCATTATTTCTTATTTCTACATAAAATCTGAGCACACTACAACAGAAGTGCTGGATGCCAAGTTCCCATCTGCCTTCATAAGGTATAGTTTGAGACAGGTCTGTGCCAATACCTGCCCAGCCATCACTTTCACTCTGTGAAAAGCTCTCCTGAAGGTGTTTTCATTCTCCTAACTCCTGCTTCAAAATCACTTCTACTGCCATATTGATAGTGACAACTTTACATGTCCTTTGGAAGTATGAAGCCTGAAGAAATAGTTAATCCTTAAGGTAAAGGGAGTGAATCCATCAAGACCATACAAAGGAACTAAGTTCTTTTTACCACAACTCATCTTAAGGAAGAGGTCTCCCTTCACCTCAGCTGAATTAAATCAATATTTACATCTGGTCTTGGTAATTTCTCATTGCAAAGGAATCTGAAGTAGGGGATTGAACAAAGAAAGAAGTTCCTACTGACTGGAAGAACTATAGAATATTTTAAGTAGGAATAACGATTCTTAACCTGAACTATAGGAGGAGTTTTCTTTGCAAAGGAAGCAAAACCACTGCAGCTTTGATACTTCCAAAAGTGCTTCAGCAATTGCACAGTCAGTATTAATGGCAACTTTCTAATTTTTTTTCTGTGCTCAGGAAAAATTTAGAAACATTTATGTCTGAAGTGATGTGGTGAACATCAGCCAGCACAGTGCAGGCAATCCTTCAGTTCTGCTTTGGTCAGTCTCTCCCCAGCCAGTGGTAGTTATGAATCTGTGTTAAAGCCAGCAGGGTTTAACTCAGGGTCTTGACATTTTGCTGCAATGGCAATAAAATCCTTTAACTTTTGCTCTGACACCAGATTGTCACCAACAAATCAACCAGAGTGCTCCTGCCACCACCCCAGACTGCTCCTAATGACTGGCACAACCATTCTTAAGGCACAGAAAGCTCTTTACCAAAGAGAATGGACATTAATGATCCTAATCATAACTCCAATATGTATCACAGTTACCTCTAAATCTATCCATCAATTAATATAATTAATGTGTTTCTAGATAATAGTCTGAGCAATGTCGGAATCAATCTATGAGTGCCATTTCCAAGAAATAGCCTTTGTCTTCTCTTTGTTCCAACATTATTCCTAACAAACTATTAGCTATATTTAAATGACTTTTAATGTCTTTTTATGTAGACTTACTGAAACAGTAATTTTAATCTTGCCCACTGTGTTTTTTTTTTTCCATCAGAAAAATAGTTTACTGAAGTAACAATTAATAGCTGCTTTTAAAGGGCACACTGTTAATGAGGTATCACTTTCCAAGTTATTTTTGTTGACCTTGGGCCCATATGACAAAAAGTTATAGTCATTCCCTGGCAAAATGAATTCATTCTATGACAGCAAAGGACTTTGATGAATCCTTGAATTTTGCCACATCAGGCTGATGTCACAACATGGTGACTGTTTATGTCAGCAACCATGTCATTATTTAATAAAATAATATTTGTTCCTGAGGTTCAAAAGCTGTGTCAAGTGTGCAAATAAATACTAAACAAATATTTTGTATCAAACTTTTATGCAAAGATAAATAATTGTTACACTGTAAAATTGTCAGTTCCATTTACTGTACATTGACTATACAATACAATGCATGAGAGACTAAAAGAAACAGAGGTTTGTTTAACTACAAACAGTCTTAAAACTGACATACACTGTGAATATTTCCCCATAAAAACTTCAAATGCTCTGTTCATTTCATTGCTCACAGCTAGCTAACTTACATCTCTTAGCAAAATAAACACATACCCTTTATTTAGCATGGCATATTTTGTTACTGAATTAATAAACAAACATCATATAAAAATGATCTGAACATTTGCCTCAAGGGGGAGCTTACAGTTCATTCTTGTAGATCCTTTGCATTTTCAAGCCATTCCAAGCTAATGTTCTTTGATGACATTATAATACAGCCTCACTGCAAAATGTTATTTTTGCTTTGTTTTCAGTCACTAAATCATTATACCTCCATGCTACTGTCCTTCCTAGGCGTCTTTGAAATCCATAGCGTGGACTGGTTTGGACTGGTTTTTGTTCTTCCTTTACTGAAAAATAAAAATATAAACTATTTTCAGTGCATGTGTGCCTTTGCAGTTCTTATTCAGCTCTGTGATCAGACCTGAGCACTCCAATCTCAAGGCCACATTTGGTGCTTTCACAGTGTGGGTTCCCCACCCACAGTGGCACTGTTACCAAAAATAACAGACCACCCTACTTAGCAGTGCTGCTCCCAGGAACTGTATTTAATTGGCCTGGATGGCTTTTTTTTTTTTTTTTTTCCAGTTCCCATCCAACCAACTCTGTACCTCTGATACAGAGTAGACTTTTCAGAGGATCCAGTTTGACCAGGGCTGGTGGGAGCTGAGCACTTCCCTTGTCTGGGGGGAAGCAGAGCACCCACACCCCTCCAAATCCATGCCCAAGGTGCAGCCCACCCACCCCGGTGGGTACCACACCCCTGCCCACCCTGGGACACCAATGGGTTCACTGAGCATCCTGCACCAGCAAGCCCCTTCCTTTCTGGGCTTCACCTGACACCTCATGAAGTGATGGCACATGAATCAAACTCCTAGCAATGAATGACTGGTAGAAAGCTTCCTTAAGGCTAGTTTTCAGTCAAAACTGTCAATAGTAGGTTTTGTGTTTGGTGTTTTTTCAATTAAAAAAAAAATAAAAATATAAAACTGGTTCCAAAGAGTACTTGCTCTGCAATACTGCTGATGTGTTTGCTCTGAGGCACCCTGGAAGTTTATGGCAGTATTTCCACATGGCTACAACTGCCACAATACA